TGATGGCACAGAGGGAGAACATGCAGCCATGTTCCAATTTCACTGGCATTTTAATATTCACACACTGGGCACCTTTCCACTTACTTACCTGGATAGCCAAGATGCTACATTCATGTTCTTCTCCCATGGAATCCACCTGGTGTGAACCATCTGGCTTATGTAACCTGTATGTGCCAAGTGATCCTGGGAGAAAATTACCATGTGGAAGCCACTTGGCAGCACTACAAGTTTCACTAATATCCTTGGGAAGAAAGGACCTTGTTCTAATTTGCTGAGGTCTGTGGTCTTTCAGGAGAGCTGGCTTGGATTCTGCTCACTGGAAAAGCTTTTTGCACTGTTCATTTCCACCCCAAATCACATGCCAGCTTCTGGCAAACACCTGTGCCCCAAGGAACCGTCTAGTAGTGGCCACCCACATGGACGTGGATAGTCACTTCGACTGGTCCCAGATGGATACTTGGGGGGAGAAGCAGTGAGGGAATGCTGTTCCAGAACTGAGCTTTGTCCATTACCCATGATCCATTTCAATTGTCATGAGGAAGGATTGGATACTGTAGAGGGAAAGCTGCATTCGTGTTAAGGGAGAATCCAGCTCCAAACTCCATTGGAGCTGATGCATTATCTGAGGTGGACAAGGAGAGATTGGCTTATTCTCTGGAATAAAGACTCAAAGCATTTACTGGGACATGAAAAATCTCTTTTGTTTCTCTGCTGATGTGCTTGTGTGACCTAGTTGTGAGAATTTGCTGGCTGCTTCCACATAGGACCAGTATGCCAAAACCTTTCCATGCCTTTCCATCTACCACTTCATTCATTCTTAACTTTTTAATTGCCCAAACAAGAGGTTACTCTCTTTTTGTTTGTGCGATGACCTCACCTCTGGGGTTCTGAAATTTGTTAATCTAAATCCTACTCATCCTCAAGCTTGCTTCCCCCACAGCTCCAGACTTCAGCAAGACCTCCCTCCTCTGCCTACCATTCAAAGGCAGCAATATAGAGTCTACCTCATGAGATCCAGAATCAGAGAGACCTGAGTTTAAGTCCCCGTTAACACTGAGCAAGTTACTCAATTTCTTTAAGCCTGAGTTTCGTATCTCTCAAATAGGGATTATGAGAGTCCTTCCTCACAGGGGTAATGTGGGGATCAAGCAAGTAACTCATGCAGAGAACCCAGCATGATTCCTGGCACTTAATTAAGAGTCAATAAGTGCTAGTAAGAATAATAATAGCAACAGCAATAATTATACCTTAAACTGGAAAGACTATAGAAATCAGTGCACAGCCCATCCTTTAACAGATGAGGTCAAGGTCATTGAGCTATTTTAAAGCCAGAGCTGAATCTCAAGCCTTTGAACACCCAGTTCAAGGTTCTTGGCTTGTGCATAACACTCATCTGCTACTTAGCATGTGTGGTGTAAGTCATGTTTTTATGTGTTTCCTGAAGCACAGTGTCTTCCAAATACATGGCCTCAGTAAATGTACACTGACAGCAATAACCCTGTAAGATATGAGCCTCTTCTCTGACCCACAATTCAACAGCCAAGTCCCATAAATCTGTTGAGGAAACAACTGTTGCCTTATCATAGGGGGAGGAAGGCTCTTTTCCATACATTTTGTGTAATATACTGTGAAATTACTAAGGGGTGCATTTGCTGGAGACTTTCTATACCTCCTTGCTTTCTTCCTTGTGGATATTCACCCAGGCCTCCCTACACCAAGACCAGTATTGCCAGCTTGACATTCTCCACCCTACATAGTGAACATCACTGGAGAAAGAAAATAAGAGATTTGTCCAAAGCCACGCAACCTCACCTTGTATGTGACACTGAGTGTCTTGCCAGAGGCAGCCTTACGGTTCTAACTGCAGCCACCAAAGGCTAAGACGTAGGAAGATCATCTCAAGCAGCTTTAAAAGTATAAACTAGATGGTCCTGGTGCATTTATACTTATAGGTTTCTTTCTTGAATTATTTACATTTCTATTTTCTGTAACATCACACATGAGGAGGAAAATCTCACAGATTAAAAAAATATATATATATGGCATATCTTAGACATAATACAGCATCTGCAGATTTACTATATGTTAGAGGTTCTAGAGAATGTGAAGAGATAAAGGCCAGGGAATTAAACAATAATGAGATTTTCTTGACATTCAAGGAGATATTAAGATAACATTAAGAGAAAAAGGATACAACATTGTAAAAACAGCACCAATATTAAACACATCCAGGTAGATAAGGACTAGAAGGGGAAAAAGTATTCACCTGCTATCTCCAGTGATGAGATTAGGATGATTTTTATTTTCTACAACTAAAAAAGTCCTTATTAAATATACATGGAGCCTCCGCTCCTTAAAAGTAAGGGTAGAGGCTTCTATATGGGTGCCCATAATGGCAAGTCGAAGGTGAGAAGGCTGGAGACCAAGACAGAACAGAAAACAGCAAAAGACAATAGTGCGAACACCAGACAACTGCCACCCAAAGGGAAAAGGAACTGTGCTTCCTCAAGATCCAAATTAAGACCCCTGGGGGCAGAGAGGGCAAGCTGCTAGGAGGGGGGAAGACAGGAGACTGGCAGGTGTTAGGATGGGGCGTGGTAGTGGGTCAAGGGCTTGGATGGAATGGCCTGTTGGGAAGGCAGGGGAAAATCCTGGGATTCCCGGGGAGGAGATGGCAGCCTAGGGAATGGGGTTTGCCAGCGCAAATGGGCACAGGGGAAGAGTGCAGGGCTGGGAGCTCCTGCCCTTTGTGTGAAGCAAACCAGGAAGACACTAGGGCTTTGAAAACCCCAGAAGGATCTGAGGCAAATGGCGTTGGCTGAGGTGAGAGAGAAGCAGGATGGTTTTCATGGCGGCCAGAACCTATCCGTGGAGCGGGTGTAATGTCACTTCTTGGGCCCGTCTAGCCGAATCCAGAGGAGACATGTCCAGCCTGTGGTGGGTCCAGGCAGGAGCATGCCCTGTCCTTCCTGGGTTCAGTCTCTGTCCACAAGCTCTGGTTTCTAAGCAGACTTTGAAGTCTTCTCTCAGGAATTATGTTTTCTCTGAAATTCCTCATTCTGGCTTGTTCTTCATCCTTTTAATTTTGGGAACTTCACCGTCTTCTCTGGAATAACATATGTATGTGTGAGCGGCACGAGGAGAACCTGTCTGCCTCTCCCCATCTTCCTCCTTGGAGCCTCTGGGGACAATGTTTGCAGAATAACAATAGATCTCAGCTGTGCTGTGAGAGGAGGTCAGTATTAGCAAGACCACTTTGTGGGACTCGTGAGCACTCCAGAGGGAGGCACAGGAGATTCTGATGACATGGGCCAGCTTGGTGAAGAGAGGGAAGGGTAGGCGATGGAACAAGGAAGAAAGATGGAGCAAAGGGCCCCCTGGCCCCACAGGCCAGCCTCGCTGTGGACCGAAGGGACCTGGGAGGGCTCGGGAAATGTCCACCTTCTGGACTGTGAGCACACTTGCAGAATCACGCACCGAAAACTGTTAAGTGCTCTGTTTTCTTATATCATTTTATAGGCCTTGCTTTTAAATTTTAACAGAAATTCAATTAACTGTGCAAATGAGGGCGTATCTGCCAGCTCTTCTCTGGAGGAGACCACGAGGGGCTGTGTCCTTCGCTGTCACTCGTGGGGAGTAGCACTGGCATGGGGCGGTGCTGTCTGGAGGCAGCGAGCTGGCGAGCCTCAGTTCCTGCTGAGCATTGGTCCGGGGGATGTTCAAGCCGCTGCTTCTCCCCAGGTCAGTACCCTGCCCCTGGGAAGGCAGAGCAGACTTGAGAACACAGGAAACACCCAAGAACGAACATAGGAAGCCAAGCTTGGGACAAACGTGACACAGGAAGGTGTGGGCGAGCCTGCTGCATTCACAGGCACAAAACCTAACCTCAGTGTCACTTAGCAATAGAAGGCATAACGCTGGGGACACACGGAGAGGAAGTTTGAGCCAAAGTAAGCGAGTTTCAGTGCATTCAGCTAAGATGTGTTATGCTGTGATAGAGCCAGCAATTCCCTCTGCAGAGAGCCAGACAGTGAGGTCGGCTAGGTCACCCACTCGTGTGCCAGGAGTCTGCTCAGGAGAGGCGCCCAGAGAACTCCTGCTTCAGAGAGGCCCGGTTCAAACAAAACCCCTTGCTTAAACACAGCCGGGGAAGCCGGGCATAGCTCAGGTGAGCTCACGTTCTGACTCCCTGTGAAGCTCAAATCCTATCCATTGGCAGGAAGGATATTTCACAAACAAGAGGCCCCCTTCGAGCAGAACCGGGCCTGGCTGTAGAAGATAGGCCAGGTTTTAGGAGGAACCCGGTTCAATGATTAGAACTGGCCCCACATTGAGCCACGTGAAGAGGGATAAGCTTTCTGCCCTGGAGAATGACCAAAGCAGAGACTAGAGGCTGTAGATGAAATTCCTGAGCAAGATGGGGAGGAAAGGTGGGGCCAGGAATGACTGTGTGGTCCCTTGGTTACAGTGTCCACCCCCAGCCTTTTCTTTTCTCTTCATCCCTTTGGGGCACAGGGCACAGTGGGGGGAACTTCAGGATCAGGCAGATCTGAATTTGAATCCCAATTCTGTCCCTAAGTCACTGTGTGAACATGAGTTACTTTATCTCTTCGCCTCTAAATCTCCTTACCTGTGAGGTGCAGTAGTGCTCCCTGCTCTGCTGGAGCTGAGATGAGCAGACGTAGCTCATGTACAGTAGATGCCCCGCAGATACAATGGGAATGATCACACTGGGCAAAGGACGAGTAGATATGAGGAATCAGACTGAAGGTGACCCCGGGGACCATTTGGTCAGTCTCCCTCACCTTATACTGAAGGAAAACAAACTGGAGAAAGTATAAACATCGTCCCCAAATCTGACAAGTTAGTGGTTGAGCGAATACTGAAAGCCAGTTCCTTTTTCTACCACCTGACATGATGCTTCCTTTCTACCACTCAGCTTACTAGCAAGGCACGCCTTCCAACCGAGACCTGCCCTCGAGCTCTGGAGGTGACATTTATCGAGCCCCACTCTGCACAAACCGAAGTGCACAAGCAAGGGAGGCCATGGTGAGAAGGTAAGATTCTTACCCTTGCGGAGCACACGGCCCATTTATGCGGGAACTAGCGAAGGTTGCTGCAGTCCCTGGAGATGAAGTGACCCGTGGGAAAGGCAGCCTGAGCCCCACATTCTGCAAACACCAGTGCTGAAGGTGAGACAGAGTACCTGGCTCTCTTAGATGTGTCGTAGTGATCAGGGGCCCTAGGGCCTGTTGTGTTTGGAAATGCTTTGGTGATTAATCTGATTGGATATGTCCCCTGTGTATTTACCAAATAATTGTATTTCATCTCTGATTCATCTCTGGCGTTGCTCATTTGATGCCTGAACATCATTGATGGAAAGGTGGTCCTTTGTTTCTATTTACTCACCTGGCTGAGACAGTGTCAGCGATGGAGAGCAGAGGCTGTAGTGCTAATGTTGGCTGGTGGTTAGTATTGGCAGCTGTGAGCCCCTTTAAAAGCTCTCCCCCTTCCTCTTTTCAAGAGAGCCAGCCTGAGGATTCTTTCCCCTGTGTTGTATCTCCTTTCTGCTTGAGCCTGTTTTAATAAAACCTTATCCAAACCAAACTTTGAGCCTGATGCTTCCACATGTGGAACTCAAGGACCTTCGCTCAGTGACAGAGGGGTCAGATGTCTGGGACTGATCTGAAGTCTGGGCATTGCTCTTGCTTCTAGCCCAGGACATAGAAAGTGTTTATGATGTTGGCTACAGCCCTGGGACATCCCAGTGGGCAGAGGCTCTGTCATCCTAGGAGGGGTCTGTAAGGACAGAATTTGTTATAAAAAATTCTCACACTCATTATTTTGACACTCATTATCTTTTTTTTAAAAACCAACATCCTTCCTCCTTCTCTCTGGAGTCCTATCTTGGGTATCAAAGCTACATGCCATCATGTCAGCCACTTGAATTATATTTAAGACCCTCCCTTGACCCTTAATAATTCCCTCGTGTCCCCCCAAAGGAGCTTTCTCAGCTAATAGAATATGGGTGGACATCACAGAGCTTTAGGAGGGTGTACTTAACCACATCAGCCATATCAAGGGGTTGTCCTAAGCCTTAGCTCTCTCCATCCAGGTAATGGGACTTGGACTGGTTAATTTAACTCTCTGGTCTCAATTTCCTCATTTTATAAGCAGACAAAGACTGAGTGGAGGGTGAGTGAACTGAGTAAAGGTGGTCAAAAGGCACAAAGTTCCAGTTCCAAAATAAATAACTCCTGAGGGTATAATGTACAGCATGGTAATTATAGTTAACAATACTGTGTTGTATATTTGAAATTTGCTGAGAGAGTGTATTTTAGGTCTCTGTGCAAGAAAAAGAGTTATAACTATGCAGGATGACAAATGTTAACTAGACTTATTGTGGTGAATCACTTTACAGTATATACAAATATCAAATTTTTATGTTGTACCCCCAAAACTAATATTAAATAATCAATTTTAAAACTAATACTAAAATATCAATTTTTAAAAAGCAAGAATTAGCTTGATAGCTAGAAAGTCAACAGAGGAATTAAAACGAATATTAAAAATATATATTTGATTAACACAAAAAAGCTAGAGATGAGGTGAAGGAAATCTAGAGCAAAGCGGCAAACCTGAAGTTAACTATTTCAGTAACCACACCAAATGTAAATTGATTAAATATTTGAATCAAAAAGCATGACTGTCACATTTACTAAAAAAGCAAGAACCAGTCATGCTGGTTATAAGATACTCTTTAAATACATAGGAACAAATAGATCAACAATAAATAAATTGAAAAAGATATATCATGCTAAAAGTAACCACAAGCAAATGGGAGCAACTATATTAATAGCAGATGAAATAGACTCCAAGATAAGGTATATTACTAGAGTTAAAGAGGGAGACTTCATAATGGCAAAACATCAAGGAAATAGGAAAATCATAAATATTTAAGTATCTGATAACTTATCATCATATTGAGTTTCAATATAATGAAGTAAAAATTGACAGAGAAATAGAAGGGGAAAAAAAGGACTTTTGCTCAAAAAGCTCTAGCGTCTCTACACGTGTGCTTCAGACACCAGCCCAGAGCTCGAAGGCACAGAAAGATGGGGCTCCGAGTCCTGCTCCCCAGCCTCTGCCGTCAGCCTCACATGCGCTCTCATCCTCTAAGTACTGGTTTTCCACAGAGCATTCTAACTGAAGAGAAGATTCCAGTGCTTTAAAAAGACCTAGTGCTCCTTAGGGACTCTTGCAACCTGAAAACTCTCCAGCTTTCTGATATACTTCACAAAGGACAGGACTACACACTGATGTCCACTCCGATCCACACCCAGCATAAGAAGCCTTTTTATTTGTGAAGTCAAAATTTAAAGTTTAGTTTTTTTTGCAATGGGAGCCAAAGCATACAAATGCTAGCATTCTTGTTATAAGACTGCAATGGTTGCCTTCCCTTTTTAAAGACAGTGGAGAGTGTCCTTCAGATCAAAAGCTCTTACTTACCAAACAGTAACAATGCTGTCTTTTATAGACTTTCTGCAGAACGCCTCAGAGGAAATCCTTTTATCTGACTGTACCACCTGATAGTTTCTTCTTTGATCTTTCCATGTTCTTGTTCTGCTTTCTCCATTTTTGATGCTTCATGTTCTTCAAGAGTATAAACTTGCAATGCTGCATTGTTTCCATTCAGAGAGACAGATTTCAAATGGAAACTGATGCTTCTGATTTAAGGCAGTGCACTTTTTTTCTCTATAAAAGGCTCTTAAAGTTCCTGGTGACTCTTGTGAGTCATTTGTCCTTGATTTGAATGTGATTTGAACAAATTCTTGTTTAATTTTTTTTACTTCCCCTTAGCTTAGGGCAATTGACTACATAGCCAGGTGCAAAAATGTCAGTTGTGAAAGTGGAGGTGAGGGAGTGGCCTGGAGCAGAACAGGTTGGGGGGAGATGAGCAAATGATGACACAGGGAGACTCGAGGAGATCCTGGAGCAGTGGGACAATGTCCTATTCATCTTTCTGCTTGTGTGCCCCAAGATACCTGGACAGGGTCACAGTGCTACTGGAGATCATAACTGTGTAGCAAAGGTATGTTCAACTGTCCTTTCCAGAGACCTCCACTTACCCACCTTGTCCCAGCAACTAACGGAGGTGTAGACATCTCCTGACGATGGAAATTCAGCACAAAGTTCAGCTGCATAAATGTAAAGGAAGCTCTTGATTTCTTTTGTGGTGCAAAGATTTGCTTTCAAACCTAGGATTCCCTCCCTTTTCTCTCCTGAAAATACAAAATTCCCTCTCATTTTGAGTTGATACTTACTCAAGTACTCAAAATTGCCTCTTCATAGTTAGATAGCCTTGAGTTTCACCCCCACCTCTCACATTTCTTAGCTATCCAAATATGAGTACATTCTGGCGTTATGCCTATCTAAGAGGCATAAATAGGTTATTTAGGTTACAAATTAGGAGCAATGGGAGTGTTGTAAGATTTATACTTCAAAAATTACACAAGAGCTACAGTGTGGACAACAGGTTGGAGGGAAAGGAATACAGAATGAAATTAAGAATTTATTGTAGTCTAGGTAAGAAATCATGAGAGATTAGATTAAGGAGGTAAGAGCAAAGAATAAGAACAATGGATGGAATTAGATATATATTCAGGAAATAATAATACTAAAATTTCATGATGAATGGGATGTGAAAAATGAAGCAGAAGGAAGTGTCCAGATTAATTCTTAGATTTCAGGCTTGTGGAAGTCTATGCTTAATAGTACCATTCTCAAAGACCTTCGGGGGGGAGGGGAGAAGAAGAGATCAGAAGCTTTCGTCAAGGCTGGGAAGCACTGCTGGCATCTCATGGGTAGAGGCAAGAGATGCTGCTCAGTGTTTCTGATGTGCAGGACAGACCCCACAGCAGTTACTTGGTTCCAAATGTCCATAGTGTCAAGGTTCAGAAACCATTCTAAAAAGAATCAGAAATGATAACTATGTGATAAGTATGTAAGACTTCTTGGTTATTATTTAGATATCCTTAAAGATAATTAAAAAACAATATGTAATGCACTGTGAGGTTTACAACCTGAGAGATTAAGCAGAATGGGTATAAAAAATTGTCCAGGGATCTAATCTCATGGAAGTTACAAGTGGTCTTGTATTAAGAGTTGTCACATGGAGGGATGGGAACAGAAGCCAGGTTACTGGGAGTTCAGATGTGAATGGGAGGTAAGTAAATCAAGACAGTAAGTTCAGAAAATTAATAGAGTCTGGGGTAAGATAATTTTGTTGATAGAATGGAACTTTTTAATGTTTGTAAATTAAGGTAATTGATGAGATTGAGAAGAAGCAATTGGATAAAGGGAGGAATAAAAGACTATAGTATAAATTTCCAGAGAAGGAGGAAGGGGATAGGGTCTAAATCACACTACCAAACTGGCTTCCAGCAGGAAGAGAAATAGCTCCTCCATGTAACATGCAAGAAAGGAGACCAGACAAGTACAAACACAGTCACACTGGTGAGTTTGGTAGCAGGATTTTCGAGGGATTCTGATCTAGTAGCATCCATTCTCCATGAAATATGAAACATGGGCATGTGTTGAGAGGTGGTGGGGAGGCAGGAAAGTTGGGCATTTGAGGAGGCTGAGAAACTTTGGAGTAGCCACAGTGGAGAGTCAGGTTACAAGTTGACCGGGTACCTGAAGGATCACCTGGCACCGTTGTGCCCATTCAAGACTGATGGCCATAAATTCATGATGGTACAATCTGCCCTGTGGTGTGTTTCTCCAGGTGCTCAAATACAGAAAGAGAGAAAGCATATAGTGAGTTGCCCTGGGGTTGGATTTCAGCCAGATGGGGTATGGCAAAAGCCCAACGGGACAAGGGAGTTAGGGTATTGGCAGCAGTATTGCTAAAACTATGGAATCTAAGCAGGAGAGGTAGCAAAGTGAAGGAAGGAGAGTGAAGGCTGGGGAAAATAGAAGATCATGGGCCTGGAGGTCACAATGGGATCAAAAACTATTTTAATTGTTTTAATGAAAAAGCCAAACTGGAAAAAGAGGAAGTTGTGGTCAGACATAGGACACTTGCATTAATGATATTGGAGGTGGTGCTAAGATCTAGGGGGGATGACCAGTGACCGAAGTCCCCTGATACCAGGGGATTAAAGACCCAAACATCATTGTGTTAGATGAG